GGGGGGGGAGTTTGGGCATGTTTTGTAAGCCTGGGATCAATATCTGACTACTGACTTGAGTTATAAATTAAGCCTTTGCATACTGAAAGAAGCAAGTTTTCTGCATCAGCTCAGAAGTAAACCGATCACGTGCACTTCCAAGCTTAATCATGAATCAAAAACTAGATATTGAAACACCTGAAGATTCAGTCATTCCGTTTACAAAATTGGGGTCAAGTACCTCTCAAAATATAATGTTTTAAAATACTGATAGTAGAGACATTTTTCCTATATAAATACCTTACTGAGTTGCAAGCATGTTCAGGAAGTGAACTCTAATCCTTTCTCTCTAAGGGAATTAGCCTTGGAGGGTTTGACCAACAACCTTTGATGGCATTGTTTGGTTTGGCTTTTTAAAGTGGAAAGGAAGGTGCTAGTGTAGCACAAATATAGTTGTGTTTGGAGGTTTGTTGGTTTGCTTTATGGAAACTATTTTAGTACCTTACAAATGTACTTATGGGAGATACCTATGATTCCAGGTTATCTTGGGTATTGTTCTGGATCCCATTATGGGCCACCCATCTAAAAGTGGAGCATTTCTGCTCCTTGGATCTTGTCCTTACTGTGTGTAATGATTGTGGAGACTCTTAGGTGCATATAGGTAATTAAGAAATGCCATTCGTATTACCATATCACTGTCTCCCTGGATTATAGTTTCTTTTATATGATGAGACTTGGCTTGATCATTTTTACCTTATGAAACTTTGATGTAGTTAAAAATTCTGTATGAAAAATTTCCTAAGGGAGAATTTACTGTTGAGCTAAAGATAATATGTTATTCCTTCCTCACGTAATTGAAGAGAGCATCACTGTAGCTGGCTTTCTCTCAACTCAGTCATACTGGGACTGCATTCACTCCCACACAAGCGGAGGACTGGACACAAAAAACATGAGGTTTCCTAAGCATTTACCCTGTTGAGTTGAGGGGAGAGGGCTTCACCAGTTTGCTACAAGAGGGAGAAGGGTATTCACATAATTGCCTCAAGCTATTTAGGCAATTTTGTGATCCAGAAGACCACATTCAAGAGGGTCCATGCTAGCATGAAGGCCTTGCCATAGTCATTTTTCTAGTACTCTGGCTGTAGAGTTAGAGATGCAGAAGGATTAGAGATGGGAAAGCAAGTGATATGCTCTGATTACTATTGTTTGGGGTTTTTGCTTTGGTTTTGGTCTCAAATACTACCAAATTACTATTAAATATAGGAAAAGGAAAAGAAAACAAACAAAAAAAAACCACCTGCTTTTATTGCTGAAGCTGTTTCTTGCATGCAAAAGGTTTTCTTTCTACATATGTTGTATGGCATTTGCCAGGAGCAAATCTTGTCTGCCTTGACAAGTCTTAGTTCACATTCGGAACACTTTGAAACACTTATTTTTAGTTAAATTATAGGAGAAATGTGTCATATTGGCAATCTTGCCTTTTGGATGGCTGATTTCAATGGTTTTTCACACACCTGTGAGAAGGACCAGGTTCTTTCTGTATCCAAGAAAAGGATATTTATAATTAACTAAAGGTAGATCAAGGCAAACTATTTTTTACTCTGACTGAGCAAGATTTTCTCCCCATAGGCTTTAACTGAACATGAGAGCTTGCGCAAAAAGCTAGTTTTTGCTAGTCTTTGCTTCAGTTTCCTTTAACTGAATTTACATCTTCCTCCCGCTCCCTTTGGCACAGTAGATAAGGCTGAAGTGATTAAAGGAATACAAAGTCTTACCTAAACAAGCTTTTAGTTGCAAGTAGGCTAGCATTTAAGCATCAGAGTCCTAGACTTGTTCTTTATACCATAAAGTCCTGTCACACATGGAGTATTTCTCTTTTTAATACCTACCATAAAGTGAGACTTGTTGGGGTTTTTTGACCCTACTTTCTCTGCAGTTCAGCAGCTACACATATAAATATTACTTGAATTCTTACTTCCTATCTCTGTCCTGCTTTCTTCTCCTTCCTTACTTTATTTTCCTTACTTATATTTTTTCCTGGTAGCAATTTCACAGCAATGAAATACCGTATCTTGCTTTGTAAGCTACAAAACCTCTGTGACAGTTTGATGCAGCAGATGATGTTTTGGAAGAATGAGCATGCTAGCACTTGGAACCATAGCTTGAACTAACCTCCTAAGAGATGCCAAGTTACACTCAGCACTTATCTAGGTTGCTTAAGAGTATTGTCAGCACCCTTTTAATGAACATCCTGAAGGCTGGGATGTTAATTTAACCAGTGGTTTTTGGATGTTTGGCTTGTACTGACACTTACTACATAGATGTGATAAGTAGATAATTCCCCCATTGGAAAGCAGTCAGGACCAGGTATGGGGTAGCCTTGGTGAAATTCAGACACCCTAGCAAAGATATATCTTCTTTTCTAGGAAATGTAATCCTAAAACATAACCTGCATGTAGAAGCACGATAGGGTGTGAGCAAACTAAATTTTGGAAATGTGTTGTATTAAACGCTATCTCAGTAACTATTCTGCAACTAGAATATTCAGATTAAAATCTACCACTATTTTGCATAATCAAAAATAAAATTTACCTTTCTAATAAGAAGAGGGTGGGGAATTAAATGGTTTTGATTGTTTTTTAGTGAATCACCTCTTACCAGTTCTGGTGCTTGTGGTTGAAACTTGGTTGCTGAACAAATCATTTTCCTTCCAGACAAGAAGGTTAGATTTCTGTTACTTAAGAAATTACTCTTTTTTCAAAGTTAAATTGGACTCCTAAACCACTTAGGAGCCTGCCTGAGCATAAGCATACTTTTTTTCCCAGTAGAAAGGGAGGAGCTGGGTTTACACTTGTGTAGTGGCTCTCAGGTCAGGATGTAATTTGTCAGGCAGGATATCCTACCCCAGGTTCTTTATACCTTGTGCAGTACTTCTGAACAGATCCTGGGTCTATGTAGCCACCTGATAAAATGCATGTGGGGTTCAGGGGCCGTTTTATATGGTTTGTCTGCTTGTTTAAAAAAAAAAAAAAAAAAAAAAAAAAAAAAGGAGTTTTTAGTCCGCGGGTCACCCAGCTGCCGCAGTGTACTTTTGAGGAGTCAGTGGACTTGCTCTGAACTTCAATGCCACCTCTCCCCTACCAAGGACATCCCTATATCAGCCGAGACAGGGGAGGGAGGGGACTAGTTTCAGCAAGGAGGAACAGGGTTGTCAAATTTCGGCGGCAGTGAGCTAAACTCACCTGATACCATAGCTCAGTCAAACACACACTGGAATAGGGCAGGCACGTATGCGGCAGCTGTAACAGAGCTTTACGGATTTCTCAAATGAGATTCTGAAGAAGTCCCTTTTTCACTGCTATGTTTCCAGTTCCTCCTGTGTTCTTTGTCCTATGCTGTTGGGAAGCAGTCTCCCAGAAGACTGGGATTAATGGTTCGGGTGCTGGATTCATTAAACCAAATAGCATGGCTCGCTGGATGAGCTCGATACATAAAGCATCCAAGGTAAAAGGGTCAAGGCTTGCTCTTCACTGACCAGAAGCCGTGGCTCATCTGCCCCGGATGGTGATAAGCTGGCCTGCTGCTTTCTTCATGGAAAAATGTCATTTGTGCCACCTGTTCTTCCGGCTTTATTTTTAAAATGAAATAAACGTTTTTCGTCTTTCGACAAATGAGCCCCGGGGAACTTTATCTTTCAGGTAATGGGGCGGCAGTAGCAGAACCCATCTCACCCGGGCGGGGCTGCCCCTTCCCCTTGCCGCTCAGCTACCGCGCTCTCCTTCCAGAAGCAGCTCGTTAGATAGCGGGGGGGAGGCGGGGAAGCGGCCGCTGCCCGGGCGGGGCTGCAGAG